TGATCCTGGACCTCAGCAGTTTGTTTTATTCAGCTGGACCAGATGTTGTAGAACAACGTTCTGAGGGATGCAGTGCCAAGGAACATCTTCAGGCTGTGGAACACCAGGGATTGACGTCCTGAGCGAAAAAGCATGCACTTCCAAGGTTTGGCTTCATCCTGTTTCACCCACTGGCATTAGCTCAAGATCCAACTTGCCTTCCAGGCCCCTTACACATTGAAGCTTTTGGACCCGCACTTTGCTGCTTTGCCCTTCACCGAGGCTCCCATCAAAGCGGGTGGCCATCTGCAACTTCCAGCTCCATGGAAACCCTTTCAGTGGCAGGAGCGGCGCGGGTGCCCCGAGCAGCTGCTGTTCTGACTCGGCGAGGTGAGCCAGGGCGTCCGGTAGCCCGAAGAGAATCTACCTCTTTTTGACTCAGATGGTTGTTGTCATGGTCATAAGTTGTCATCGTTGCCCTCTGCATCAACATCATCTTCAAAGCAATCGCTTGAGCACAGGCGACAGGGACGACCGACGAACGGATGAAATTATGAAAAAGGAATTCAGCATCACTCTCAAAGCAACTTGCCCTTCAACATGTGATTAAAGGTCATTGTCATTGCCGACCGTGAACGACAAAACGGATGATCATTATGCTCAAGGGTGCAATATGCTTATGCTTGTTTCTTCAGACCCTTTTGGTTCTGGTCATCACGAATCCTAGGGGATTTGGGTGCTTGAACAGCCACCAAGCTACACAAGCGATTGTGTGTGTGTGAGAGGCCTCACCTAAGAATTAAGCTTTGCTGCCCTATTTGTTGACATTCTCGTCGCTATTCTGGCAGGTTTTGCAAGGAATGACAAAGCGAGAGCGCAGCTACAGTATCCAGTGACAGGGATCAAATGATTAGCTGCTGGATTCCTGGTAAAATCCTTCCTGTCCGTGAATGGTCCCACGCGCAATCCAAACTGTGGAACTGGCACGGCTAGAGTCATTCGACCAAGGTGGAGAGCGTACCAAGGGCGGTTCTTTTCCGAAACAGGCGAAAGAGCCGGTCCAGCACTCTGGATTGGCTAACTTCAAACAATAAGAAGGCCCTATTGGCTACAAAAATCATGTTACATACTCAAGTGGCCTTTCTTATAAAGAATGTTTGGTGCTGTACTCTGATGGGCATCCACGTGTGCCCGGACAGGCTCCCGAAACACTGCCTCTGCCCACGTCCTGTGCAATCCTTGACGCCAGCGAGGCATAAGCAAAAAGGTTGACAAGGCCATCTCAGGCTTCACTGGGCAAAGCCCAATCTGTTTCCGTCACAAACTTGAGATTTCTGTTATTCTGCGACTGGTCCTCTTGGCAAGTCAACGTGTGGTGAGACAGTTCAAAGTGGAGGCTCTCACTGGCTGGTTGCCGATTCGGGCTGGGCTTGCTGTGCTGTTGGATCTGGCTGGGCACCTTCACGTCACACGTCTGGCAGACATGCAAAAGCTGCCCGCATGCTCATCTACCATTCCTTTGTTTCCAAAGCTGCGATGGAGCCTAGCTGCCCGCGAATCTGTCCTCGTCTAACTACTAACTTCACCCAAATTCACCCAGAAGCAACTTCAGCCGAGCCTTCCCCACCTTCTGCACCTTCCCTCTTCGTCAAACTGGCCACCGCAAGGCGTGCTGCCCGCAAGGGCACTAAGGTAGTTGCGACGGTCAACCCTGCCACTGTGGAGGCCACTGCAGGCAGCACATCCGCACCCAGGCGCGGCTGGGACTCCGGGGTGCGCTCCTCTCACGCTTGACAATCTAAGCGAGAACCTAAATGAATTCATCAAGAACAGAAACCAAATTGAAATCTCTTTCTCCGTGTCTTCCTAGGCCGGTCCGTTAAATTGCAAGCCATTTAAAACTGAAAATCCATGAAGAATCTTTCTCACTCATCGCACGGCGCCTGGCCCACGAAGTAACCAAATGCTGCCTGGATCTCAGACCGCCCCGTCTCGAAGTCCTGGAAGACCTGTCGAGATAAGTGTCGGAAAGGCGTGCAACAAGCTCCATTTCACCCATGGACACGTGTTTCTTTATCTTAGCCCAGTCTACTTGTGTAATTATGCATAACTATAGGCATAGTCACCCGTTCTAGATTCGGTGCAATTGTTGACTCCACTGGTCTCCGCCACCAAGCAGACTTGGCTCACATACACCCAAAAGAAAAAAGGTCTCAGCATGTCCCGAGTTTTCGAGACGATGGACAACATTTCGATCTCCGAGGAAGAAAGCGCTCTGACACCCAGTTCCACCTGCTGCTTGAAGCGATTCACCTCCCCCACCGGTTCTGGTGTCTCTGGCACAGCTGCCACTGGCTCAGCCACTACCTAGCACACTGCACAGCAAAAACTCCGGCCCAAAACGAACAGGGCAGCTCACCCCTGCCTTTTGAACAAAAAAGAATCACTACCGTCCTATCCAGTTCGTTTCACTTCTCCTTTGTTGTACATTGTACAGTTGCAGAGTGGAGTCTATGTCTACCTGTGGCCTCATTTTCTCAACCGTCCCTCCCATCTTGCGCTGCAATTCGCTCGCCCCTTTCCGCGCCTCCTGTGCCTCGCAACCCGCCTTGGCTGCCACAGCCTTCGCACAAAGCCGTGTGCCATGCAGCGGGATCAGCCGCGCCGAAGCCACCACACCTGCCACGGCACCGGCCACCTGGCCAGCAACCTGTCGAGCTTGGGTAGCCTGCGGAGCAAGATGGAGAGGAGCGAGGATGGAAAGTCAATAGCCGTGGTGGAGAAGCGCCCCAAGTAAAGTGGCTAGAAGCAAGCAAGCAAGCAAGCAAGCAAGCAAGCACGCACGCAACGCAACGCAACGCAACGCAAGGCAAGGCAAGGCAAGGCAAGGCAAGGCGCAAGGCAAGGCGCAAGGCAAGGCAAGGCAAAGCAAAGCAAAGCAAAGCAAAGCAAGCAAGAAGTGTCAAGTCCAAAAAGCAGGTTTCAGGAACGGCTTCACGTCCTCAGTATAGTAAAAAAGGACAGACAGACAGACAGAGACAGAGACAGAGACAGAGACAGAGACAGACAGACACAGAGACAGACACAGAGACAGACACAGAGACAGAGACAGACACAGACAGACACAGACAGACACTGACAGACGCAGACAGACACAGACAAACACAGACAGACACAGACACAGACAGACACAGACACAGGCACAGACACAGGCACAGACACAGACAAAGAGGGAGAGAGGGAGAGAGCCCCTGCTGGCAACTTCACCAGGGCCATGCCTCTGTGCTCTCACCCAGGACAGCACCATGCATATCCTGGCAGATGGCATGTCGCATCTTCTGCAACTCTCCTCGCTTAGCATCTGGCTTTGTAATCGTGCAAGTCTGCCTTTCGAATGGAAGATTTACGCAAATCAGAAGGACTCATTCCAATCTAGTCCTGGTAATTGGCGCGGAAATCAGTGACCACCTGCTCTTTGAATCGTGCCCAGCCGCTGGCTTCGCTGGTGCCGCTGGCCTCGCATGCACTAGAAGGATTATTCACTCAGAAAAAACGCCGAGGCAAAGGCCAAAACCCAACGTCTTGTGTCAGTAGCCAAAAGGTGGCAAAGTCCCGGTCACCATCAATAGAGTTTTTAGAAAGACTCAGCTACCCTCGCCTGTGTCTCAACTTGTCCATCTGCAAAAGGAGTTCCTTCGATCACCCGGCTCTCAACTGTGCTCTCACCTGAAGACCAAGGCTGTGGGGCCACACAGGTGCCAAAGGCCGTGGATACGCGATTTCTTCAACGAACCACATTGGAAACTGTAGGGCAAAACCCATCGCCCTTGCCTCCACTCTGATCCCTCTTTCAGCCAACTTCTCCAAGTATATTCCAAGATGTGCCATTTCTGTAGGGAAGCTGCAAAACGGAAATCTGAAACAGGATGATGGAGGCTTTGTGTAGCTGATGGCTCAACATTGTTAAGAATCAGCACGACATCCCCGCTACCCAGCGCACCACGCTCCCTCTTCGGCCTGTGCTCACAGATTCGCCAGATTCGGCGGGCACGATGGTGATCCTAATCAGCGCTTCTCCAGCCTCCAGGGCGGCCTGGAAGGTTTCTAGTAACAACAAGCATCGCTACTAGGAGCAAGGACGCTATTAGTAGCTCCTGGCCTTACTACTAGGAGCAAGAAGCACTAGTAACCTTTGGGCGGCCTGGAAGGTTTCTGCCGTCAGGGGTTTCTCAGTGTCCTCCTCGCAGCACTTGGTGGAACATCCGTCTCAGCTGATCGATACAACGAGTTGAGTGCAAAGCTTGACAATCCCTCCAACTGTACACCCCATACGATTCGCACAAGCAGCTTGGGCAACCTGGAACACAGCACAAGACTGGTGGACTCCAATGCTATCTATAGAAGCCACAAAGACATGAAACTCGAAACTACATCACCCCTCATCCGGCCCAAACACCAAGATTCATCTTTTGAAAAGGTCAGCCTGGATTGCCCTGAGCCTGCCGTCCTGATATTTCAGGCTCTGCCCCTCGTCCGCCAGATCAAAGAGCTGCAAAGCGGATGTTCTCAGGTTCTCGAAGCAACAGCTCTCTCCCTCCTGGGGGGGAGGAGGAGCAAAGGGATGAGCAAAAAAACACAATCTTGGCAATCCGCGTCTTTTTATGCTTGTATTGAAGGAGGAGGATTATATACAGTAATTGTAAAAAGCTCAGCTGTCTCGAGTTTTAGTCCCACGGTCAAGTCCGCAAAGCTCCTTGGGCCAATCCCGAAGTCTGCGGACCTCCTGCCGGTATGAAACCTTCAAGGTCCTTTCAGTTACCTCTGCCATATTGAACTGTCTCTGCCACTGCAAGTATGTTTGATCCAAAAGCTGCAGGTCCAGCCTCGAATAGAATGATGACTCATAACGTGTGACTCAGAGAAACATACTCGCAGCCCAACGTGGTGCTTGGGCATCAAGAACCTCCGCCTTCTGATCTCCCTCATTCTAGTTTCGCTTCCTCCCCCATCACGCCAAGCGCCTACAGTGACGCCAATGTCCAACATGCTGGTGCCCCAAGCCTATGAGACTGCATACAAAAGGAGCGATTGCAAAACTCTGGACGCATCAATGCATCTCACTGGCCTTCACCACCTCACATCTCTTTCGCAAACCGAAGATCACGAGGCAAACTAAGTAGTTATGGGCCTAAAATTTGCCTTGCTTCATGAAAGCCAGGTATTGGGCTAGGCGAAAGTTGTTCCTGACAATAGAGGAGTTGTGGAGGGTTGTATGTTTTTTCCGATTACCGGCTCGTTCTGCGCACGTTGAGAGGTTTGAGTGATGCTGGTAATGCATGCCAAGCAATTCATATTTTCCAGCATCACCAGCAAATATTGAAATAAATACTGGTTCGTCCTCGATCAAGATCATGGGTTGTTGCCAATCAGGAGCCAACCCAAAACGAAAGCAGAGTCGAGCTACTATCAATCCATAACCAAAGGCAAGGCTTGCTGCCAAAAACATGCGGAGAGGGTCCTAATGTGGTTTTGAGGTTCCCCCCCCTAACAAAATCACCCGAAGCCTGTGCAGCGAGGATTCATTCTTTCTGGCCTTCTCATCAGCTCCGCCCTCCACCTTCTTGGGCATCCACCTGAGTGCCACGGACAGCTGGGCTCCTCCCTCTCACTCTTCTGGTGTTTATACACAGCACATCCTCCGCGAGGCAAAAAGCAAAATAAAACCTCTTCGCAACAGCAACAGGGAGCAATGACAGCCTGTTTCCGGAGTTGGTTGCCATCCGACTGAGGCAAATGCTTGCTTAAGTACACGGTGCTGGTGGGAAACAAGGGGCCCTCAGCAGCGAGCGACAATCAGCCCCGGCTCTTTCGGTGTCCAAAAGTGGACGTCCTTTCTTGAACAAAACCTAGTTCACCCGTATCACGGTCTCAAACCGTGGTGACAGGCACCACAAAAACAAAGATGCTCGATCCGAAGCCGTTTGATCTTCAATCGCAGGGGCCCGACCATGCTTAGGAGGTTGACTTGTCATCACTATGCCAATAGAACTGTAAAGGCTTTTGAAACCGGTCCTGCCTGCACGCTCCCCATAACCATCATGATGTACCAAAGCCCAGACCTGCAAAGCGGTTGGGCACCGCAAACTTCTGCTTGGAGGTTGGACACAATGGGGGCCAGTAAAGAGTTTTGCACTGCGGAGCTGGAGGGTCTGGAATTCTTTAAATTCTCCATGCCGACTTGAAAAGCTCTGGGAGCCGGACACGCCCATGCTGTCCACAAAAAATGGGATCGCTAAACCTGGAAAGAAATTAGTGAGATCAGTGACATCTACCCAAGAAATGGCTTCCACCTGCCATCCCAATGCACTGAGCCACCAGCAGCACAAGGCACTGAGCCCCAAGGCTGCTGTCATGACCTTGGCTTAGCGTGCGGGCTGGTGGGCTGGCGGGCGGGTGGGTGGATGTGAATGTGCACATGCTACCAAAAGCGTACTCAAGAGTGGAGAGCCCAGCATTTTTTGCGCCCAGGCGATCTGCCAGAGCACCGCCTGGTACCTGGAACCAGTGGGTCATGGGCATGCAAGTTTCCAGCTTCCGTATCTCTGTTGAAGTTGGAAACAGGTTTCCACAATTGGTAGTCCCCAATAGTAGGTTATGGTTGGACTGTTTCCTCATGGCCCTATACATGTAGGACTCATTCATCATAGGTACGACCCGTGTTCAGGAGATTGGAAGCACTTAGGCAGACAAAGCGCCTCTTTAAAACCTTTGTATCTTCGTGCCTTGTAAGAAGCTCTCGGTGCCCCGTGTCCAAATCGCACGAACTTTTCTTTGTAGCAGCTTTTGGACCAAAATGGCCAGCAAAACTTCCAGCAGTTTGCAGAATACAGAATATATATATATATATATAAAATACACCCTCCACATCCCTCCGCCATCTCAACCATCTAAAGCACTCTGCACAATGAAGAAACTAGTAGAAGTTTCATAGAACAAACCTAGGTATATAACTATATGAGTAATAGCACCCCGCGCACTTGGGTAAAGAAGTAGCCGGCCGCAATCGCTGACAACCTTTAGTCACAAAGATTCCGGAGCACAAAGGGCAACACCTGAGCCTGGTCACATCCGCAGCCTGTGCCTTCACTCAAACTCCACACAACAGCGATGCTGCTGTCACTAACTTATATGGGTGTATATACTGAAATACGATTCAGGTGTCCACATGCCACCAGTGCCCAACAGTCAAGCACCAGACAGGCTTCCTTTCTGCGCCATAGTGATGTCCATCTCAGCGCTCATGAAGACAAGCAGCGGCGACAGCGCGTTGCCTGATGCCGGGGCTGCTTGATCGAGGTGGGATCGCACCAGACATGTCCCCAGAAGAATGGCCTATGGGATGGTCACTATGTCATATGCAACATTGCAAAAGCAAGTTTTTGGTGATCAGGGGCCATCACGCATTGACTGCTGCACCATGCGCGTGCCAAGCCTCGGGCTGAAAGTTTACCAAACAAAACCCAAAAACCAAAACCTGTCACTGTTCCAAGCACAAAGCAGTAGGTTGGAGGCCATCCCTAGTAGGTTCAGGGCCATCGCTAGTAG